AAAAAAAAGAGTTTTTTGATTAACACCGGCAATGCTTCGTTACTTCGTCTGCTCAACAATCTCATTTCGCCTGACTGCCATAGTGTCTGAAATTGTTGCTTTTTTTTTTACTGGAGGCACACTTATAGGTAAATAGAGAGTATTTTGACAATAAATGAATGAAAAGTCAACGAAATGCTAGGGTTACTTTGGAAACTTAAGGATGCAGTCAGCCTCACTGAATCTTTACGATAAAACAACTAAAACTCAACCAATAACCTCTTCATTTAGTGATCAATTTATTTGCACGTTTATTCGCAGATTCCACTCTCACTTCATTCGATTGTGTCTGAAAATTTGACAAATTAATGCGTCGGTTCAAAGAGTTACTTGAAACTGATCGATTGTGCTGATAAGATAACACTCAAGCGAGTCCCATTTCCCTTTCCAGACACCAACATGAATGAATGAATGAATAGTGCTTCTTCAATTGATGACATTGAATACGATGATGATCACAAATAATTCCGTGGAAGTGCCACGCTTGATATGTATTACAGGGATTTTCTTCACACTTAATGTGTATTAGAGGGATTTTTTCGTTTTGCGCAAACGTTGGAAACGAAAATAAATAATTGTGATTGTTGAATAGCGCAAACCTTCTCCTGAATACGATCCAACTGTCGATTTTGATTACTCACTTCTGTGCTCATATCAATGGCCATGTTTCTCAGATTACCGACCATCGTTGAAACTTGTTGAATATTCTCGTCCATTTCGTCTTCACGTGCATCGTTTGTGATTCTGCAACGAACATACAGAACTGATCCAGTTTCAAATCGCAGCTTGTTCCTCCGAACCAGAAAAGTCCACACCAACAGAATCGCTCTGTCCAAATTATATTAAGACGCAAGCAATCGTGAATGATTTGCAGCAAGAAGGTTGAACGGATTGGCACAACAAGGGAACACAATGAGAAACGAAACGAAGACTGTTTTGAACCTACCGCGTAATGTATCCACCCTGAACTCCCATACCAGACTCACCAACCGTTATCCGTGGCTGATCACTGATAACACCGCCGTCGTCGTCCTTCTTCCATGCTTTCGCATATTCTGATCCCTTCTCGAAATCGTCACCCCTAAACAATCGAATTTCTGCAGCAAAACGGAATGACAAACGAGAAAATCTTTTACTTTACAACCAATCTTTTACTTTCTCACAAGGGAATTATTCGATACGAGAGATCCTTCGAGTCGTGTCATAGCCTTAACTTATCTATTCGAATCCAGTCTTGAAAACTTGGAATCTACTCCTCCTCCTCCTACTCCTCAAATTTATTCGAATCTGTTAATAGCCTAACTGTTCAGTTCTTTTTTTTTAAATTTAAAATGCTATGGCATTATTTTCACTTAAGCTACACGCTACTTTCACCATTCATGTTGATGATTTACAAGTAGTTGTTGAAACATTTATGAAGCATCTAGTCATGTTGTTAGAACATTTAAGTTTACTTATTGCACGGCAGTACGCAAAGCCCACAGCATTTTTCCATGCCTTTCAAATGCTCTTCAGCTTCACGCATATCCTGATTGATTGTATCCAAACCTCCTTCCACTCGTTCCAGTTGCTCTTAAGAAACAAATGAATTAATTGCGATTCGCATCATAACGCTGCCAGTTTTCTTCAATCACTTACAGAGTTTTGAGAGTTTTGCACAGTGTTTTGTCGGTAAACTAAATGTTTCAAAAGTTAGTCGATTTTGATCGATTCTCAATGAGCTGTAGCTGATGTGAACAGAGCTGATGAATTTCTTCTTTAATGAAGTGGCAATGGATTCTCTAACAGATAGAATTCAGTTGACTAATTG